TACATAAGAATAACTAATTTTAAAACAGCATTAATAATTCATAAGGGAAAGACACAGGAAATCAATACTGTGTTGGTGGTTTTATACGTGATAAAAAAATCATATTCATTTACATAAACTTTAACTTTGATTTTCTCGGCGTAGACGACGTTAATTTTTAAAATTACTTCGCCAATGAATTCATAAGATGGGTCGTTGTTTAAGCCGTTTAAAACAGTCGCAGTGCGTGCTTTATCAGATGTAAAACACTCGGCTGTCGCCTCGTGTTTTATATCTGATAAAGCACTTCTGCTTGTGTTTTAAATAGTACATAAATCGTTTAATTAATTCACCTTCTCAAGTTGGGCGGAAACAAATGCCAATTTAGGCACGTGATTTCTGTCGCGTTTCACGTGCGATGTCAATGTCATTTGCGTGGGAGTTGCCGTGCCCGACGTCTCGTGACTGCTTGGGTCGAGTAAGTCCATGGTGCTGACCGCTGGTACTTTAGAGACAGCGCTACAATAGAAAATATTGAAAATAAGTTACGGGAGTTTGTGTCTGAATTATCTGCTAACATTGTGGTGAACGCATCTTCCATTACAAAAAAAAATAACAAAATTATTTATTTATTACCTTGTTGAAACATTCTTGTTCACAGTTGCTCCTGATCGTCTCTCTATGTTCACAGCGTTCCCACATTCACACCCGAGGACCACAGATGCAGCAAGCAAGTTTTTATGAACAACCTATGAAACAGTAGATTTGTTTAGGTTTTCCTATAGTAACACTGGGTCGATAACAGATGATCCTTACTGGACCTCTAGGAAGAACAGTTTAGAACTGATAGAGCTATCCAGTATAAATAAAGTTAGTTTAGTTTAGGTTTCCTCCTGTAGTAATACTGAATCAACTAGAGGGCACTCAGAGACTGCATACCTCCGCCCGTTACTCGGAAGTGAAACGCAACCTTGGAATTTCCTAAGAAATCCACTTTATAATTCTTAAGCACAAAAGATTTCAGGCCCCCGCGAATTGAAATCGAATTGCTAATAGAACATACTGCTGTTGTTGTACTGTACAGTACTTGTAAAATAAAAACTTTTTAAGTGTCATTAAATAAATGCACAAATTTTGCTTTATGCACTCGCGCGTGCAGTAATTTTCACAGTTGTGCTATTTTAAATTCCCAGACAGCTAAAACCTTTTGTCTTTAAAACAATGTCGATTTCTTGGGAAATTCCGTGGTTGCGTTCTTTTTATACACCCTGTATTGAAGTAATCTAATGTTGTTAGAATTTGAATGGACTGGCACTTTGCTGAACGTAATAATGCGTAACTCCGTAAGCCTTGTTTTAGACATTGAATTTCGGTCGCGTGAAATGCAACTAAGACAATAGATAATGAAGGCCGAAGCTTAATGAGGTTTATCATCTCATTACTGTCTTAGCACTGAGTGCATAAATTATACACGTCCTAATTACGCATTCAGTAATATATTTTGTTAATTGACCGGGAAAAGCAAGACAAAATTTTGTTCATTTCTCGTTCAATTTTTAACGAAATTCAACCAAATTTTAATCAGTTCTTCCTTAGCCGATGGGAAATGCATTCAAAAAATTTCGTACGGATATGTTTGGTATTTCTTGAGTTATCGTGCTCACAGACAAACACACACACATACACACACACACACATACACACACACACACATACACACACACATACACACACACACACACACACACACATACAAACCCAGATGATTACATAACCTCCTGGCGGAGGTAATAAGAGATGATCCTTACTGGACCTCTAGCGAGAACAGTTTAGAACTCTAGCTATCCAGTATAAATAAAGGTAGATTTTAGTTTAATCCTTACTAACCTGGCTAGTTAATATAACTTGCAACTTCTCAACGCCAAGACGTCCAATAAGCTAAAATATAAAATACAAGGATGAACATTCCCTCAATCGTTGAGCTAGATCCTCCGCAATAGACAACTTGCAAGTAAGACTAATTTTTTATCTAGGCAAAAAAAGTAAATTCCCGTAAAGAACTTATTAAAATTAGTAAAATTGAAAAATTTGCATATTATGTATGTTTGTATTACGTGCGGAAATTGTTACCATTCTTCAGCCGAAAATGGTAACTTTGGAAGACTATATTTTCCAAGCTTTACAACATTTCGCAATCAAATTTTGCAATTTTAATTTACTAATATCATTAATATGTTCTTTTTAGCTGTGGTGTTTGATTCCCTTCTCTTTCAAAATTTAGTCTAACATGCAAGTTGTCTATACTCCCAGCTGCAAGCAAAGATCAGTTAGCCCATCCTCACTCACACTAACCTGTAAGAGTCCTTCTCGCGTCCTGAAATTAACTGTTCCCACATGTTTTTCGTCAATCTCCTGGATTGCAAGGGGAAGAGCTCCCGGCGTATATCTGAAACAATTCAAAAACGTAAAGACAGGTTTCACTAAGAATTATCGCATATATCAACATGAGCCTGAAACTCGAATTATTCAGGCTTTGTAATTTCTGTAATTTCTGTTTGGCTCACACCATTGTCTTGTTCCATCATTATCTCTCAACTCAGTTCGTCTGCAGCTTCGTAACGCTTTTAGAATAAAATTATAACTGATGAATAAAAGTTTATCTACTCGTACCTGTCAATTCTGCCATCGTCATCCAGGAGAGTGTCGATCGAAATGCGATGGAGTTCAGCTTCTGGCTTCAGTTGAGCGAAGTCAAACGAGACAGCTCGGAGATAAGCATGATGCTCGTCGAAACCAAACTCTTTACATTTCCTCTTGTAAACCTTACGTGAACAGAAAAATATTAAATAGACGTCAGGCTTTTTTCAAAAGATCTTGATCCAAACATACAACTTTATTTATACTGGATAATTCTGTCAGTTCTAAACTGTTCTCCCTAGAGGTCCAGTAAGGGTCATCTCTTATTGATGCAGTCAGTGTTACTACAGGAGGAAACCTAAACTAAACAAACTTTATTTATACTGGATAACTCTATCAGTTCTAAACTGTTCTTCCTAGAGGTCCAGTAAGGGTCATCTCTTATTGATGCAGTCTTACTACAGGAGAAAACCTAAACTAAACTAACTTTATTTATACTGGATAGTTCTATCAGTTCTAAACTGTTCTTCCTAGAGGTCCAGTAAGGGTCATCTCTTATTGATCCAGTGTTACTACAGGAGGAAACCTAAACTAAACTAACTCTATTGATACTGGATAGCTGTATCAATTCTAAACTGTTCTCCCTAGAGGTTCTGCCAGGATAGCTAAACTGTTCTCAAAATAACGCACTTTGAAATGTGACACCAACATGTTGTCCTGAACAGTACGAATCTTAAACAAGGTGACTCCTTCAATATTCCTACCTTCATCAGAACCTCAGTTTCGTGAGCTGACGTTATTAAACGATGCCGAAGAGTTAGCACCTACAGTTAACAAACAACAAGTTTAATCAATATAGCTTATCATTTGATTTCTCAAATTATATGTTTTGATCATAGATCACGGATTCAAAATTCGAAACAAGCTCTCACCTCAAGTAAATGACACCAGGTCTTTATTAGAGCCTGCTGTCTTTCTTTCACGGATCTACGACCAGCGGAATTCGACTCAAGAGCGCTGAGCTGAGACTGACCGACTTCACAAACAAACAACGGATCCTCAACAAATACTTCTGAGAATAACTAAATATTAAGAAAAAATATTAGAGAAAAAATATGCACACAAGATGCACCTCAAACGGTCATGGCTATTTTAGATACGATGGAGCACCTAGTCCCTAGACCTTTACCGGCGCGACCGCGAAATTCAATATGGCGCCAAGCTAAGGAGTGGACTTTATATTCTATATTTATTTATCTACTGTTGTTTTTTAACGTTTTTCTTCTTTTTTGGTTTTCACGATCACGACCACATCAGCACTGCCTGTAACTAACTTATCGTGATTAAATAAATACATATTATTATTATTATTATTATTATTATTAAAACTTATATTGTGAAATGCCAGATAACTTACTCTTTATCTGAAAAAATATTTTATAACAGAACTTTTCTCAAACATAGTTGTTGTAATGTATACTTATCTGTACGGATACAATTGTGACTGAGTTGTTCATTTAACAATGAAATCAATTGATACTATTTTACTCAAGTTGGCAGGCTACGAATAAATAATTACTTGGCTTAATGAAGATTATATTATTTAAGCAGGATAATACATGCTAATGTGGTCACAAGTCATTGACAGCATTCTATAAGCAGTTTTAAAAAGTTAAACTGTCAGACAATATTCCATATTTCTTATAATATAAATGATAAAAAATAAAGTGCTATAACCGAATAGTCGAACAATATTGCTTCCATTTTCAAATTGTAATGGGTGTGGTTTTGGGGTTTGTGAGGGGGGGGGGGGGAGGCAACCACTCCCCGCCAATAGCGAGCTTAAGCAAAGCTTGTACAATTGTTCAAACAGAATGTTTGTAGAATGACTTACATCTTTTTGTGTTTGCTGTGAATGTGTTATTCCAATGACTTCCATATCGTCCCATTCTTGCTGAACAAGTTCAAACAGACATTTCTCGACATTGATCAACTCTATGAAACCTGTAGGTTGGTTCGCATTTAGGAATATCTAGAAATTAAAACATAATGAAAGATTATTCAATGAACGTAAGTGGTAACACTGGACCTGTAGGTAGGAGATTTAGAACTGATAAAGCTATCCAGTATAAATAAAGTTAGTTTAGTTTAGGTTTCCTCCTGTAGTAACACTGGATCAATAAGAGATGATCCTGACTGGACCTCCAGAGAGAGCAGTTAAGAATTGATAGAGCTATCCAGAATAGATAAAGAATATACCGTACCTGTAAAACATGCTGGATAGCTTTGGGTATAGCAGCTGCCAGAGCAAGAGATGGGTGGAATTCCAACATATAAACATATTTTAAACAGGGTCTGAAGAAAACGAAAGCAAAGATCATAATTTTAAATTTTTAAATAATAGTGAAAAGAAGCCAAAACTTTTGATGAAAAGTCAATTATACCTGCTGGTGTTAACTGCAATGCTTTGTTTAGGGATAATTCTGTGAGGTAAGCCAAACTCTAAAAGACAATAAACGCAGATGTTTTTTATGAATACCGCTGTATTTTGGGTGAATAATTGGTCGATATTTTACTGTTGATTGTTTTCTCACCCGAATCTCCATCCCTTGTTACTTTCTGGACGTACTCGCGTTGTTCAGCAATCTTCAAAAATAACGTTTCAATTACACGAACCCTACACCACAATTTCTTCTAACAAGTCTTGAGGGCTTCTAACTACTAATTATTGCACACATATAGTCCACTGTAGATATAAGTTACCCCTAATTGCCACTAATTGATTCTAATTGTTCATCATTCCTCACTATACTTCTTGATTGCCCTAACTATTTAAAATTGGTAATTAGTGCTTGCTAATGCTCATCAGTAGTCATTAGAGCTTATCAGTGCTCATTAGTGCTCATTAGAACTCATTATAGATCTCTAATGCCTCATACTTCTCCCATCTGCTAATCAGTGCTCGCTTTAACTAAAAAGTAATAATTGTTTCAAACTTCCCCAGATTGCTAATTAGTGCTCATTATAGCTCAAATTTGCCCCTAATTGCTCCTAATGGCACATTATATTTATATATTAGGGGCACTTTATCTGCAAATTCTCACCATAATTGGCCTCACGTTTGTATCGCTCATTATTGCCTTACAGTAGTAGATCTAGATTATTTCTAATTGCTTCTAAAATCTCCATACTGTATGTCCTACTGTAGTACCTGTTTATCCAGCACAGACTTGATGAGGTTACAATGTAATCTCAGGCAAACATTCTCTGCTCTGTACAGCTTTACTAAGTAAGGTTCGTTGAAATCAAATCTTGGCCTTTGATGAAGAATATTTACCATCACCTGAGGAACATCAGAATATTAATATTGTGAAGGGCATTTGGGAAGTCTTTTCAATTTCGTTAGGTTGTTCAGATACAAACCACGGCGGCTTATTGTAGAATACTACCTACACTGGACCACCACGTTTGAGATATCTTTTTCAGGTAGTTCAGACACAAACTACGACAGCTTATTGTAAAATACTACCTATATCAGATTTAAAACCGATGTTTAATCTCAATAACATTCATTAGTTACCAACCTGAGCTAATTTTCTCTTGTCATCTGGATTAAAAGTGTGTTGATAGGCTTCGAAATATGTATCTAAAAGCTGAAGAAATATAACCAGTAGTACCACATGATCAATAGGAGATGATCCTTACCAGGCCTCTAGGGAGAACAGTTTAGAATTGATAGAGCTATCCAGTATAAATAAAGTTAGTTTAGTTTAGATTTCCTCCTGTAGTAACACTGGATCAATAAGAGATTATTCTTACTGGACCTCCAGAAAAAACAGATTAGAACTCATAAAGCTATCCAGTATATAAATTAAGGTCGTTTAGTGTAGTCTAGTTTCCTAAAATGTCTTCACTCTACAGACCTGTCTCTTATTTTCCAGGTAAATTGCTTCATTCGACCAGAGATCAAGAAGAACACCAAAGCGATCAACATTCTGATGGCCATACGCACTGATGTCAATATCTGGATACCTTGACTAGAATTTTTAAACCAACAGAAGCATTAACAACAGCTCCAGTAAGCTATGCGATCTGCATATCGGAATGTGTGAGGAAGGATTACCTTAGAGCTGACATTTTTCGAAGATTTTCTAACACGAAACTGCTTGTCTTTTTCAATAAACTTGGTTGCAACAAGTAACAAATCTTTTTCCATGTTCCTAGAAAAATTGACATACAGTTTTCTTTAACAGTCGAAATTTAACTAGCTCTAACTTGAACTAATTACACGCCTAAAAATCTCACATCTTGAAAAAACAAAACTCCTTGAGCCTTACTTGAAATCCTTTATAGCGACATCATACATGACGTACAACCCTCTCTGATCCTGTACGTGGACACGCCCTTCTTCAAATACAAAGAAATCGTCGTGATTTTCTACCTGCAGACAAAGAAAGAATTGAGAAAAAAATTGCAATTGGGAAATGTTTAAAATTTCAGAGAAGCTAGGCTTCTTTCATTTTCAAAATTGCCAAAAAAGTTTCCATACTATATGTTGAAATTCTAAAGTAATTACCTCTGAGTAATGCATGAATTCATTTTGTTCCACGCTATAAAATTACAGAAATACTAAATTATAGTCAAGGCCCTGTCACACTATTGCGTATGAGAGAAACGTATGAGAAGCGTATGAAAATTAATGAAATAATTTTCATACGCGCAAAATTAAAAAAATCCCTTGAAATGCCAGCGTATGAGTACCGTAAATATGGCGTACCTCTAGCGTATTCAGCGTGTGCCTAGAGTATAATGCTTATCGTATAAACCATACGTCCGAATACGCACAAAATTTTTAAGCATGCTTAAAAAAATGTTTCTGTTTCGCACTTTCGCCTGGCCTCGCCGTATGCCATCGTATGCGACCGTGCTTGAAACGTATACAACCTATGTCTAACGTACCCCTAGCGTATGTCAGCGTATGTCAGCGTATGCCAGCGTATGAGTGATATTTTTCACACGCTGGCATATGCTTGTACGATACGCAATAGTGTGACAGGGCCTTCAAGGAAGAGAATTAGCTAAGGAAGAATGATAATATTTATTTCTCTAATGTCGATCACACGGGGCGTGGTTGCCCAATACACCCTTTCGATAATTAGGTCATTTGGCCTGGGAGCCTCGCTCTCATGAATCGTGAGCCAATCACGTTCCCTAATTTACTAATGAGAGCGAGGCTCCAAAACCAAAACGTATGTGTGACGTAGTTATCGAAAGGGTGTATTCACTCGAGAGAAATTAGCCAACCTGAGTATAAAAATTCCTACCCTCGAAGTATAGGCGTCGTAAAAAACGAAGTGGCTGGTAACAAGTGTACAGATTAGAAAAACAAAGGAATATAAAATGGTATATATGGACTCTGGACTCACGCGAAATCCGCAGGTGTGTTGTGAAGATATTGATGAGAACCAAGCCCTTGAACACCACCGCTGTGAAATACTTGTCGACTATGAAAGCATAAACATTTGTATAGCTAAGTGGCGGACGATTAGAAAAGTGATGGGGGGAGCAACAAAAAATCGAGCAGGGGAAACAGAAAGAAAAAAATTCATACAACAATAAAGTTTGAAAAAACAATTCGTGCAGAGACTTTTCAATAGGGAAAATTACAAGTAGAAATAAAATAATTCGTGCAAGGGATTATATCGGGGAAAACCAGAGCAAATCACAAATATTCACTATACACCAAGCATGGAACGCTTTGCCTCTGAACGTTGCCGAAGCGAATAGTTTTCATAGTTTTAAGCAGGAACTCAAGCGCCACATGAATATTTACTAATTTACTAATACGTCTATCTTAGTTTACTAATATACACTCATTAATGTTTATACTATTAACACTTTTTACCGCTACTAATCTTTTCTAAGGGGGTTCTTATATAGGGTTAACATTCCGATCCTCCTGCAAGGACCTACCTCCTGTATATAGCTCGTATAGGCATCGTGATTAAACATTTTGATTGATTGATTGATTGATATTATTTTAAAAAAAATTATCGACACAAGCAAAAAATTTTTAAAAAGTATTTGTACAAGTAATTAAAAAAGTCCCCCCCCCCCTCCCCCTTTCTAATGGTCCGCCCCTATAATAGCATAGTTTCGAGTGCAATTTGGAAAAAACATGCACGAGTGAGTTTTTCAAAGACTGTCAAATTGCACGAGTCCGAAGGACGAGTGCAATTTGAAGTCTTTGAAAAACTCACGAGTGTATTTTTTTTCAAATTGTACGAGAAACCACACCATTAATAATATACATGAAAAAATTATGCAGTCACTCCTAAAAACTCCTAAATGTTTGTTTTTTTGTATATTATTATTTCTGCTGGAAATTGTAATGTAATTGTAATGTAATGTTAGTCATAGAAATTTGCACTGTATTTCGAAACAATTGCACTGCTCTCAGCCACAATCAGAATTAAGAACATTTTTCACTGTATATTATTAACAGTAAAATATCAAAATTACTACAACCTTACTACACTACAGGTTTGTCTCACCAAGTTGGTACGTGGCTGAAAACAAATTATTAAAACGATTATTCTGCCTTACTTCGTTGCTTTTTGACGTCCACTCTCTAAAGACAGCCCGCTATCATTAATGGTCAGTGTTCTTTCGATAGAGCGACAGTAGTTTAATACGGACAAACACTAAACAGGGACAACAATTTTTGCGAATTAATTCGGGGTTTTAAAAAAAAAAGATTGACACATGGCTGTCAGATACCGGTTTCAACCACAGTCAATAGAATACGAAGGTTAGGGAACTCGATGCAGACATAATACACCTCATTATCCATGTTTTTTTCTGAAATACTCGGTTCATCGTCACGTGTGTATTGTATTTTCACTAATGCAACCAATAGCTATGTTTTCATTTAACCATTGCAGGGTTCGTAGTCTCCAAGATAAAAAAAATTCAAAGACTTTCAAAGATTTTTTCTGCCTATTGTCAAAGACTTTTCAAAGACCTTTGAGAGCAATCAGGTGTCGAAAAATTGCGATGTATAAGCACCATTTTTACTAGGTAATTAGTCGCGTCAAATCACATCCTAAAATGCACTTTCTTGTCGATATTTGCGAAAATCTTGCTTCAATCAATCTCTTTCATTAGCTAGGAAATCGTATAATCAAATAATCACTAAAGAATTTAAAGACTTTTAAAGACTTTCTTCGCTTTTTCACACAATTCAAAGACTTTTCAAAGACCTTAAAGACCTGCATTCAAATTTAAAGACTTCAAGGATTCAAGGATTTCAAAGACCGCTACGAACCCTGCATTGTGTAATATCACGACTGAGTAATTAATCCAACACACCGCTACATATTGGTTGGTTGGGCGAAAAAACAATACACACGTGACAATGAACCGACCATGATGTTGCTGAAACTTTCATTTTTTTGCATTTTTTACAATAACAATATGCAAATTAGGTAAATGCATACATTAAGCATGCGTGAAAGACATTGGTGCCAAAAATGAAAGTTTCAGCAGCTATTTAAAGGACTTAAAATTGAGAAAATTTTCTGATATTTGGACCATTGATAAAACACATAACAAATTTCTCGCCCATGAACTCAAAATGCGTTTTAAACTTTTAAATTTCGCGCGCAAGCTATTTTTAATGTCGCTAAAAAAGACACCCCCTACTCTGGAAAATTTATCTTTACGAAAATTTTTTGTTTATTCTACATTATAAGTGCGCAAACAATCTATGGACTAGTATTCCAAAGGTCTCGGGTTCGATTCCCACCGTGGTCAGGCAAACTTTTCAGCCTGCCCGGTGTGGATATACACTCAGAGTAACATCATAAACATTATATAACATCAAAACACACATAATACAAGTATATAACATCAAAACACACACAAAACAAAACTATATTTATAAAAAATTTCATGTAATGAACGGATTTGTGAAATTGAGAGCCGTTTCAAAATTGTCTAATTTTTTTATACACCTTGTATCGAGTTTCCTAACCTTCTTATAAGTTTTATTGACTATCGCCTATATTCTAAAAGCTCACTCACACTCAATGAGTGGAGGTTCAATCTGAGCTTGCCCTGAATGTCAATGCTGTTTTTGAATAGCTGAAGGGTGAGTAGTCACATAGTAAGGTATGACACTAGCCCTCCAGCTATTTAAAAACAGCATTGACACTCAAGGGAAGCTCAGATTGAACCTCCACTCATTGAGTGTGACTGAGCTTTTAGAATACAGGCGTATGTTTCAAAACATCGCCTACTTACTGTGCGTTGTAAGTCTCGTAATCTGAGATGCCTGAGTAATAAATAAGACATATAGGCTCCCTGTGTTGCCTGACGTGCCCGCGAATCTTCGTCCTCGAGTCCTAACATATCCACAGCTGTCCCCAGTTCGTATTCACTGTCCTTCTGACCACTCGTATCCTCACCCACCTTCGCATCGAAGTCGAGAATATCATCACGAGAGCTAAAAAGGAATATTTCAAATCTGGAAATGAGTTGCACGCAAAAGCAACGTGAATTGAGACAAGTAAAAACGCACAAGTTGTTACAGGTCTGCAAACAAGTTGTTACAAATCTTTTCACAAGCTGTCGACAAGTTGTGTTCGCACTGCTTGTTCCCAGTTGTTGTAACAAGTTTGGAACAAGCTGTTAACAACTTGTAACAAGCTTGATCCGTTGATCGCATTATCAGACTTGTTACAAGGTTGTTCTAACAAGTCTGATACAGTCATGATATAACAAGAATGTTACAACCGATCACACAAGGTTGTAACAATATTGTTATATCATGACTGTATCGGACTTGTTGGAACGACCTTGCAACAAGTGTGATAATATCAACAAAGTTGTTACAAGCTGTTAACAACTTGTAACAAGCTTCGTGGCATTATCAGACTTGTTACAAGGTTGTTCTAACAAGTCTGATACAGTCATGATATAACAAGAATGTTACAAGGTTGACGACACAAGGTTGTGACAATATTGTTATATCACGAAGAGAAAATGACAAACACAAACCTCAGTGGTAAAGTTTGGGCAAATATTTTCTTCCATACAGCAGTAGTGTCGTAGTTAGTTTTATGCGTCGTCACGGAAACGGCTTGGGGTGTCGAGGGTTCGACCACAGCTCTAGCGTGTTCTTGTAGGGCAGCAATGACGCGCTGGAACACAAGAATGCATAAATTATAGCTGGCTGCCAGAGGTGCTCTTAGAAAGCCTTCGACTCGATCGGGTTGAGCTGCGTCCTTCGCAAATGGACCTACTGTATTCCCTAATGAACAAAATTTTGATCTCAACAAGTCTAGACAAAAATTTCACCACAGCTTGAAAGAGCATCACAAAATTAGTAATATTCCGAAGTTTCGTTGCGAAATGTTGTAAAATGCGGACTAATATAGCCCTGCGAAGTTTGCCGTTTTTCAGTCATTTTGTATTACGCACGGGAAATTGGTCCCGCTTTCTGAAAGAAGGTATCAATTTCCAATACAAAATGACTAAAAAACGGCAAACTTCGCAGGGCTATATTATCCGCATTTTACAACATTTCACAACGAAACTTCGGAATATTACTAATTGTGTGTGATGCTCTTTTAAGCTGTGATGAAAAGTTTGTCTAGACTTGTCTAGATCAAAATTTTGTTCATTAGCTATAATAGGTCCATTCAGCTCAGATCTCAGATGTAAGTAAGGATTATTAGGCCAATTAGGCTAGCACACCTCGCCACTCACACACTTACTTACTTGGCAACACATTTTAAAACTGTTTGTAAAACTCATTAATAATTCATGAAGAAAACACAAAAGAAATCATGAGCGCAAAGGAGTTTGTATATCTGATACAAAATCATGCTGATTTACATAAACTTTAAGTTCAATTTTCTCACCAAATATCATTCATTTATTTTAAATTGTTGAAGAATACGAATGTTCTCATATTTCACAAGCTATATACCTGTAACACGGCTGCTCATGGTGTTTAGATAGTGCTTAAAAGAAGGTACTGCAGACTTCATTTAATCAATAGTTTCGTGTGTAATTTAATGAATTCTATTCACAACAAATCATATACCTGAGGATCTTGCATCTTTAGAAAACTAGAATGCGTCTTCAATAGCTGTAATAAAGGTAATATGAAAAATATTGGTATTACTGTCATGATAATCTGGGTTATGCAGTTCCATTCCTGCCAGGGACCTGCATAGTTGCGGTTAGGTCCAAATGTCCAATTAGATGATGTATATATATATTAATTTTCCACTTTCGACCCTTCAACTATATTACTGAATCGAGTTAGATGCCAACAATACAATCTTGATATTTAGCCACAACCTAAACATGGCGGTACCCTAGGCGTAAAAAAAAAATACCTGTGGTTCCGGTTTCATATCGTGAAAAAATTAGGGTCGGTAGGTCGGAAATAATTTTTTTTTTTTAATATTTTTTCATGGTTTTGGCAGTTTTTTGCTGGGCGATTTGCAGTAGAGTCCCGACATCAATGTTAACTAGAGATGCGTATTTCCTATGGACGAATTTGGGCAATTTGGTTCAATAATTATTGTGACAACAGACGCCATTTTGGCACGCTGTATGAGCAGCCCGCAACCACCTGGAGAAATTAGGGTCGCACGGTCAATCACGTTGAAAAAATAATAGGGTCGGCAGAAAAAAATAGGGTCGGTCGGGAACCGGAACCACAGGTTTTTTTTGGTTTTTTTTTTACGCCCTAGTATATATACATGAACTTGTGGTTAGATCTCAACAACTGGCCTCTGTAGCTCAGTTGGTTAGAGCGCTGGGGCCGGTTGTACGAAGGCCGGATAGTGATATTTTCAAGCTTTGTTAAATCAGTCGTTGACTGGTATAACTCGTATTAAAGTTTAGTATTTATAAGCTAAATGTTTTTTATACTTCTGGTGTCGTCTACAGTATATCCGTAGTTTCAGTTTTTCAAGCATTTTTACAAATGTTGAAAAAAATCACTATCTGGTGGATAGCGCTATCCGACCTTCGTACAACCCGCCCCTGCACCGGAAGTTACATTTTTCGCAGCTGCACCGGAAGTTACATTTTTCGCAGCTGCACTGGTTAGGTCCAATAAATGTAATTATATAAATTTCCACTCGATAATTTCCATCTACAAGCAATATGCATTGGAACCAACTTTACTTGCCTGATCAATGTTGCTTTGTTGACGAAGTTTCGTCATTATCTTAGTTTGGTCAGCGTTTCTTTCTGGCCTACGAATATAATTGATGTTAGGCAAAAATTTATGATAGGTCTCTTGCTCTCTTCCAATTTCAACAAGCAGATTAAAATACCTGATATGTAAGAACGTGACCCAGTTCGATTCTTTTTTAAAAGTGCAGTACGTTCCCTGACTGCGAACCTTGCTGTCACTGATATCCTGGTAACATGGAAAATATAGAAAAGCGATAAGTGATCGGTTACATTGGATATAATCTATCAGATTTTAATAACATCTCCGTGGACGCTTAAATTGGACTAAAGTTAGTTTAGTTTAGGTTTCCTCCTGTAGTAACACTGGATCAATAAGAGATGATCCTTACTGGACCTCTAGGAAGAACAGTTTTAGAACTGATAGAGCTATCCAGTATAAATAAAGTTAGTTTAGTTTAGGTTTCTTCCTGTAGTATAACACTCGATCAATAAGAACTATAAGAGATGATCCTTACTGGACCTCTAGGGAGAACAGTTTAGAACTGATAGAGCTATCCAGTGTAAATGAAGTCAGTTTAGTTTAGTTTTCCTCCTGTAGAAACACTGGATCCATCAGAGATGATCCTTACTGGACCTCTAGGAAGAACAGTTTAGAACAGATACAGCTATCCAGTACAAATAAAGTTAGTTTAATATTAGTGCTGCAAAGAAACATTCAGCGCTTCTAGAAGCTATCTCACCTCAACAAGAGCATCATACACCGCGAAACTACGCAATTGTTCTTGTTTTGAAAATATCTTCTTAAATTTCCGTGAAACCATCGTGAACAATTCCATCTCGTCAGCAAATGTGTTCACTTGATGAACATCCTATTAATGAGTAATGATTAACAAGATAATTAACGAAAACACTTTATCGAGAAATGTCTCAAACGTGGTGGTCCAGTGTAGGTAGTGTTCTATACAATAAGCTGCCGTGGTTTGTGTCTGAACTACCTGAAAAAGATATCTCAAACGTGGTGGTCCAGTGTAGGTAGTATTCTACAATAACCTGCCGTGGTTTGTGTCTGAACTACCTGAAAAATATATCTCAAACGTGGTGGTCCAGTGTAGGTAGTATTCTACAATAAGCTGCCGTGGTTTGTGTCTGAACTATCTGAAAAAGATCGATGATATTTATGACGTAAACTAAACAACAAGCATCTCTTACCATTTCGACAGCATAACAGCCAATCAAAAACTCCAACATCGGTTTGAGTTTCTCCAAAGACGTATGATGCAACGGTATATCCAGGTTGATTTCATCCGTCGCCAGTCCCCCACCCGACGCGGCCGCTGTGGCCGCTACTGACGGACTCTTGGTAGCCACTAGTTGGTACGAAGATAGGCTGATGGGGGGAGGTGTGGGGAGCGCATCGTCAGTAGTTGGACGTAACAGGCTAAGTTGCGTTATGACGGAGACTTGGCTCATGACTTTGGAGAACCTATTACAAAATAACAATTTATTTCATAATATTTCTGCTTGGCGATAAATTGCTGTTGAACTATAAGGCAAAAAAAATATGTGGGTTTCCGGTTTCTTCTTATAAAAACTTAGGTAGGGTAGGTCGGTTTTAACTTTTTTTTAAACTTTTTTTTAATTTTCCTAACAACCGGACGCCATTTTGTTTAGTCAGTGCTTCCACATCCAAAGATAAATTTCGCTAATATTGCCTCAAATATCAATTTTCCACAAACTTTTTCCTCTAAGTGGAAACACTTACAAGCACGATCCAATAAAAAAGTTTAGGATCGGGATTTCGACGTCCAAAAGCTAGGTAGGGTCGGGAAACCGGAAATCCACATATTTTTTTTTTTTGCCTAGCATGTAGCTGAGTCTGGAATCAGGGGTGGAAAAAATAGGCGAGCACGTGCCACGCGAGCACTGCTCGTAGGAAATGTTAAACAGCTGCAGGAAATTCGTTTGAATGAAGATTTGTTATTGAAGATTTGAAGGAAACGTTAACACCCACGTCCCACTATGGGCTCAACAACATATGGTTGACAGACATTATTCCTTGAATTTAAAACCATGGTCAGCTAGAACACTATATGTTTATGCACTTGCAGATTTAGCACAAAAATACTCCGTTGATCTGCAGGAAATTTTTTATATGCAGGACAGAGTTTTGTGAAACACTAATCATCTAGTACGTTACCTTTTGCGAGCTTTGAAATTCGCGGCGGTCGAGGTTTTTGCATCTGAGTCTGGTAAGGTTTCAGATTTTGAATGCTGTAGTTGGATTGTGTTTGTGTGAGAATATGGCAGCCATTCTATAATCTGGTATGAAATAAATACATACATATACTAATCAATGGATCACAATGCCAAAACCATACGCTTCATACATATATACCAAAATCCGTTATGCTCAATGCACAACTTGCATGTTAGACTAAATTTTAATCTAAGTAAAGAGAAGGGAATCGGATATCACAGCTAAAAAGGACATAATGAAATTAGTAAAATTGCAAAATTTGGTTGCGAAATGTTGTAAAGCTTGGAAAATATAGTCTTGCAAAGTTTGCAAATTTTGTATATGTTTGTATTACGTGCGGAAATTGTTACCATTTTCGGCTCAAAAATTGTACCGCACGTAATACAAACACATACAACATATGCAAACTTCGCAAGGCTATATTTTCCCTACTTTACAATGTTCATTTCGTAACCAAATTTTTGTAATTTTACTAATTTTAATAAGTTTTTTATGGGAATTTACTTTTTTTTGCCTAGATCAAAAATTAGTCTAACATGCAAGTTGTCTATTGAGCATGCTCATTCATATACAGCTATTTCAATGAAGGTTGTCCACGAGCAAAGCGGAAAAGTCGAATACGAGCGCGAAAGGCTGCTGGGAATCGCTGGGAATCGAATTTTCAAAGCGATTTCCAGCAGCCTTTCGCGCTCGTATTCGACTTTTCCGCTTTGTTCGTGGACAACCTTAATTGAAATAGCTGCATACCAAAATCCAATATACACTCATGGGCATTCTCATCTGTATACCAAAAATTAATTTATTTTTGCCCACCTTTAAGAAAGCATGGATTTTCTTGACAGAATGAAGCTGACAGATCAAGGACCTTGTGTAGATAAGCAGATCATCTAAAGTCACGACATTCATTGCAGATTCATGACCAGCCAAGGCGGCTTCTCGTGCGACTGAAAGACGTCGAGCTCTGTCTAATGCGTCTTGGTATTCTGCCATTATTAAACTATGTAAAACAAATAATTGGAAATATTGTGAATAGTCTTCTAAGTTCTAACAAAGGCTACGGAATTGTCTTAGTTGTCTTTGAACAGCAAGATCGGACAACAATCTGTGATAGTTTGCGGGTGTAGGTCTGATTAACCCATTCATTTGAGTGCCACTGCTCTGACTTCTTGACATATAAAGGCATTTATTATATAGTAGAGAGTCATGAGATACTGAAAAATACACAGTGAGATATTTTCCATATCTTCACTAGTGAAGATATCGATTACATGACTTTAATTTTTAAGGCGGCTTGAAGATATGACTTTTATCTTCTTGTGTTAAAAACAATATTTTACTCACTCACTGCGCTCGTTCGTAACATATTGTTTTCGCCACTCGAAGATAAAAGTCATATCCTGACCGTCGACAACTTTTTTGGTAAAAAAATTTTCCGGACAAGTATGTTGCAATTGCTTTCCAGGTACTTTATCTCAATTTTTCATACCAAATTTCGATACTTAGCCAAAAAAAACCCAAAAACAACATTAACCGCTATTAGTCTGCAGGGGCTAAGCCCCTAGTGTAAGATTTCTGAAGTGGCTTGAGCCCCAAAGCCCCCCCCCCATACTCTACACCTATGACCCTGACGTGCCGCCGTGTTATATATCCTCTATGTATCTCACACTCAAGTGTCACAGAATGTTGTACAGAAGGCCATCTCCATTGTCTTTGTGTAGTGCTATTTGTCATGATTCATCAATCAGCAAGTACTGTAAACAGAAGCAATCACCCCCTGGAAATATTCAAAATGGCACACGTCCAGGGGGGTGATGGTACTTGCCGAATGACAAATCATGACAAACAGCGCTAATACGCAAAAAACAATGGAGATGCAATATGCAACTTAGTTAATTAAGAAAATTTTCTGAAAATATCATTGTTATTAAAAGTTGAAAATTTTCAACTTCAAATTTTTTTCCGACGGAATATTTGTGTCGGCCAATAACATTTTACAAAATTTTCTTTCCGCAGAAAATTTTCCTGAGTGGAAATGAGCCTTAGATGTCTAACTTCCATACTAAATTTTGTTAATTTTCCTGATTGTAAAACTGTTCCCCAAAAATGTACATTTAATTCCTACCCAAGTCTTTCCTGGTAAGCTGGATACAAAGCTTCGATAGTCTTGGAATGTTCACAAAATCTTGCCCATCTCAACATATGCATGTGTTTACATTGCACCAGCTCTTTAATTCTGTCTACGTAAAACTGAATGAAAAGATTTCATTAATATTTGGTACCATTTCATATTTCATAAATAAACAGTGCATGTTTATCAGAACCAAACTTAATTATAAGTCCAGTCAAGTTGATGAACCTCTAGCTTCCAACCAATTGCGACGTAATTTCAACGGTGTCTGATCTCTATACTTTAGGGGTGCACCGGATTTGGAAATTTCAAATTTACCAGATTTGGACAAAAATTCCGGCCGGAATTCGGATTTGCCGGATTCGAGATAAACCGGTAATGGGGACAATTGGGGATAAATTGGGATAATTCAGTATTCAAAATGATCGTTTATGTTTTTTACTATTTTTAGTTAGTGTCAGTTTAGATTTTTGATTGTGTTTACTAATAAACCTTTTTTAAATATCTTTTTGTTAATAACTTAATATTTTATAATAATATAAACGTTTTTTAAACTTTAAAGCTGCCAAATTGATGGTTTATCCCATTCTGGTGAATTTTTTAAGGTGAAAACAGAAATTTAAATCCGGCCGGATTTTTCCCAAATCTGGCCGGATGCCGGAAAATTTGTTAAATCCGGCCGGAATTCCAACAGAATTTGAAATCCGGAACACCCCTACTATCCTTACTCAACCTCCAGGAAGAACAGCTTTTTAATAGAACTGAATGAGTGAATACAAAGTTATTTTTTACCTGATGCAGTAGAAGTGGTAGACTTTTATTTGTGTATTCTTCTTTTTCACATATCGTCATTTCTTCAATCATGGTGTCTGCCTGACATGCGAGACGTCTCGCTTCTCGAACCTGAAAGTAGAATTTATCCACATTTATAGAAGATTAATATTTATATAAACCAATTACAACTTTATATGTGAAGTCTACTATACATAAAAAAAACAAAGGATCTATATATGTACCCCACCTGTAAGGCTTTAGTAAGAGCAATCTTCCTTTCTCTTTGAAAATGTCCACCATCTTTTGGTAAAGGTACAGAGCTGTGAAAAATATCATAATATCAGCAACACTCAAGAGCCTCACATATGGACTTTCTTCAACGTAGTTCAGATACAAACCACGACAGCTTATATTGTAGAATACTACCTACAATGGACCACCACGTTTGAGATATCTTTTTCAGGTAGTTCAGACACAAACCATGGCAGCTTATTGTAGAATACTACCTACACTGGACCACCACGTTTGAGATATTTTTTTCAGGTAGTTCAGACACAAACCATGGCAGCTTATTGTAGAATACTACCTACAATGAACCACCACGTTTGAGATATCTTTTTCAGGTAGTTCGGACACAAACCACGGCAGTTTATTGTAGAATACTACTTACACTGGACAACCACGTTTGAGATATCTTTTTCAGGTAGTTCAGATACAATTCACGACACAGCTAGCTTATTGTAGAATACTACCAACACTGGACCACCACGTTTGAGATATTTTTTTCAGGTAGTTCAGACACAAACCATGGCAGCTTATTGTAGAATACTACCTACACTGGACCACCACGTTTGAGATATTTTTTTCAGGTAGTTCAGACACAAACCATGGCAGCTTATTGTAGAATACTACCTACAATGAACCACCACGTTTGAGATATCTTTTTCAGGTAGTTCGGACACAAACCACGGCAGTTTATTGTAGAATACTACTTACACTGGACAACCACGTTTGAGATATCTTTTTCAGGTAGTTCAGATACAATTCACGACACAGCTAGCTTATTGTAGAATACTACCAACACTGGACCACCACGTTTGAGATATTTTTTTCAGGTAGTTCAGACACAAACCATGGCAGCTTATTGTAGAATACTACCTACACTGGACCACCACGTTTGAGATATTTTTTTCAGGTAGTTCAGACACAAACCATGGCAGCTTATTGTAGAATACTACCTACAATGAACCACCACGTTTGAGATATCTTTTTCAGGTAGTTCGGACACAAACCACGGCAGTTTATTGTAGAATACTACTTACACTGGACAACCACGTTTGAGATATCTTTTTCAGGTAGTTCAGATACAATTCACGACACAGCTAGCTTATTGTAGAATACTACCAACACTGGACCACCACGTTTGAGATATTTTTTTCAGGTAGTTCAGACACAAACCATGGCAGCTTATTGTAGAATACTACCTACACTGGACCACCACGTTTGAGATATTTTTTTCAGGTAGTTCAGACACAAACCACGGCAGCTTATTGTAGAATACTACCTACACTGGACCACCACGTTTGAGATATTTTTTTCAGGTAGTTCAGACACAAACCACGACAGCTTAGTGACTTATTGTAGACATTAATATACATGCCTTCACAGCTGGTACAAATAATTTAGACTTTCTCACAAATATGATTCAGAAAGCACTATATACAGCTTACTAAAAGTAAATTATAGATACAGCAACAACATACAAACACAGACTATTCAACAAATATTAATAAATCAAGTTCTAAACATACCTAAAAGATTTCTGGGAATTAGAACTAGTAACTTTCAAAAAGTCATTTTCTTCGATGGCATTCTGCAATTCTTTTAACTCTTTGGACAGATCTTCTTCGACACGTTTTACTCTGTCGCAGCTGGAAAATTCATAGATTCCTTGCATGTTGAAATTTAATATGTAGTCAAAAATGTATTCGAATGTATTGGAATGCGTTCGAATGTTTCGAATTTTATAATATTTTCATTTAAAAGTCAAACTTCGACCGGCCATATTGTAACTTTGTTGCCATGAGAGACGGCTTGAGTCACGTGATGTCTGGATTTTAAATGCCGCGATTTTTCGCGCGTTTCAGCAGATTTTGATGAATATGCGAATTCACAATTGAAAACAGGGATTTATTGCTTTTAAACAATTCCCAATTCACATAATTTTAATACAGACTCACAACAAGTTGTTCCAACAATTCTCATATAGTGACGTCACCGTCTCAATGTAATCAAGCTTGCTACAAGTTGTTAATAGAACAGCGTAATAACCTTGTTGATACTATCAGACTTGTAGCACGACTGCTCCAACCAGTCCGATACAGTCATGATATAACAATATTGTTACAACCTTGTGTCATCAACCTTGTAACATTCTTGTCTATCATGACTGTATCAGACTTGTTAATTACAAGCTGTTAACAGCTTCTCACACGTAAAAATCTCACAACTTGTCAACAAGATGTGTTCGCAACAGGCTTGTAGCAAGCTGTGAACACATCCTGTTGAGAAGTTGTTGGAACAGCATTGCTACAAGTCTGCTCCAGGTTTGTTACAACTTGTGCGTTTTTACTTGTATAACGTTTACATGCAAGCTTGTTGATATTATCAGACTTGTATCAAGGTTATTCCAACAAGTCTGATACAGTCATGATATAACAATATTGTATACAAGTTGTTTAAACAGTTTGTAACAAGCTTGTTGATATTATCAGACTTGTAGCAAAGTTTTCCAACAAGTCCGACACAGTCATAATAGAACAATATTGTACAAGTTGTTAACAGCTTCTAACAAGCTTGTTGACATTATCAGACTTGTAGCAAGGTTGTTCCAACAAGTCCGATACAGTCATGATATAACAATATTGTAAACACGTTGTTAACAGCTTGTAACAAGCTTGTTGATATTATCAGACTTGTAGCAAGGCTGTTCCAACAAGTCCGATACAGTCATGATATAACAATATTGTATACAAGTTGTTAACAGCTTGTAACAAGGTTGTTGATATTATCAGACTTGTAGCAAGATTGTTCCAACAAGTCTGACACAGTCATGATATAACATTATATAATAACTACAGTGAAACACGCAATTTGATTGGTTAATAGCTGTGCAGGGTCAGGCTATCCTGCACGAGGAATTAAAATGCCTTCGCGGGATTTTTGCGGGATTCACAAAATGTCATTGTTTCACTGTAGTTATTTTATAAAACAATTACCAAATGGTTTTCCAAGCAGGATAGCGTGATCCATGCAGTTGGGATGTTGCTCGACTTTCGGAAAGCGTAAAAATACACTCGCCTGCGGCTCTCGAGTATTTTTACGCTTTCCGAAAGTCTCGGGACATCCCTCGTGCATGGATCACGCAATCCTGCACGGAAAACCATTCGGTATTCCTTTAATATTGTATTCAAGTTGTTAACAGCTTGTAACAAGCTTGTTGATATTATCAGACTTGTATCAAGGTTGCTCCAACAAGTCCGTTACAGTCATGATATAACAATATTGTACAAGTTGATTAAACAGCTTGTAACAAGCTTGTTGATATTATCAGACTTGTAGCAAGGTTGTTCCAACAAGTCTGATACAGTCATGATATAACAATATTGTACACAAGTTGTTAACAGCTTCTAACAAGCTTGTTGATATTATCAGACTTGTACCAAGGTTGGTCCAACAAGTCCGATACAGTCATGATATAACAATATTGTATACAAGTTGTTAACAGCTTGTAACAATCTTGTTGATATTATCAGACTTGTAGCAAGGTTGTTCCAACAAGTCCGATACAATCATGATGTAACAATATTGCATACAAGTTGTTAACAGCTTGTAACAAGCTTGTTGATATTATCAGACTTGTAGCAAGGTTGTTCTAACAAGTCCGATACAGTCATGATATAACAATATTGTAAAGAAGTTGTAAACAGCTTGTAACAAGCTTGTTGATATTATCAGACTTGTAGCAAGGTTGTTCCAACAAGTCTTATACAGTCATGATATAACAATATTTTACAAGTGGATTAAACCGCTTGTAACAAGCTTTTTGATATTATCAGACTTGTAGCAAGATTGTTCCAACAAGTCCGATACAGTCATGATATAACAATATTGTACAAGTTGTTTAAACAGCTTGCAACAGGCTTCTTGATATTATCAGACTTGTAGCAAGATTGTTCCAACAAGTCTGATACAGTCATGATATAACAATATTGTACCAGGTGATTAAACAGCTTGTAACAAGCTTGTTGATATTGTCAGACTTGTAGCAAGGTTGTTCCAAAACGTCCGATACATTCATGATATAACAATATTGTACAAGTTGTTTAAACAGCTTGCAACAAGCTTGTTGATATTAGCAGACTTGTAGCATTATCCCATACCTGTGTTAAAAGCGGCTTTCTGATTGGTTTAGAGCAGGTGAGCTTGTCGTCGAGCTCACCTGCTTTTTGCCGAACTCACCTGCTTTTCGCCCGAGCTCACCCGCTAAACTGCTTACGTTGCAATAACAATAACAAATATGGCGGACAAGATTTAGCCGGTAAACGTAAACTTTAAAGAACTTTTTTCGGTGACTAACATACTGAAACTGAAGAAAAACCAAAGAAAAAATGCAGTAAAGGTAATGTAGACGTAGATAAAGAAGTATTTTCTTACCCAGTGATTTTTTTGGCTGGGAAAATGTTCACAAAACATCGACGAATATATCGCGAAGAGCTACAAATGTGTGTATGGCTCGGTGTATGGGATAAAAACCAAACGTACTTGCAGGTTCGGTGAGTCCGGGATTGGACGCACCTCGGGTGGCTGGAAGTTTCCCGAACCCACCTCGCTTCGCTCGGTAAGTTCGGGAAACTTCCAGCCACCCTCGGTGCGTCCAATCCCGGACTCACCTCCCTGCAAGTACGTTTGTTATAAAGCGGAAAAAATTTCGTTTAAAATATATCTTTATGCCTGTCATTTATTTATTGCCTTTAAGTGGCCGAATACATGAGTATTTAAAACAAAAATATAGTTTTCTTGGCGTACGTTTTATCCATGTCAAATAACTTTCTGACTTTCAGGTCTTTCAGTCGCATTTCTCTCAAAATATTGTCAATTCTGGTGTAAATCGTGCTCAGTATGAAGTCTTTAGGGCTTGACCCAATTGACTATCGTATTCTAACTATCGTTAGGGTGCGTTTTTCAAATTTTTTGGGCCGATTTTTTAGTTCAAAAATTGTGTCACTTTTTGGTTTCTGGCGGGAAAACCAGAGCGAGCAGTTGCGTTTCACAGCGGGTCGGATACAAGAAACTTGCCAGCTCTTAAATGTTCCTCAGCCAATAAGATTGCTTCGTGATAAAAAGTAAGGTAAAATATTTTAAATTAGACACAAGAATAAATTATTTAGCTACTTCACTGTCACAATTAAGTCCATTCCCAAAATATATACACAACATTACATTCACAGTCAAAAGAACCTTCATTGTCAGTATAGTTGGCATTGTGATGCCGTGCGTTGCTCAAGCATTTATTGATGTCTAAAAATTATATTACATATGCAAATAACAAGCGATAAGTGTTTAAAAGAAATAAAATATTTGAGACATGCATATCAATGAATGATTTACTTACTAGAACAAATAAATCCATTTCCAGAATACCCAACATTACATTGACAATCAAATGAACCTTCACTGTTATTACATCTGGCATTGACATCACATGGTTTGCCCAAACATTCATCAATATCTATAAAATATAATGACCGAAAACATCACTGGGAAAAAATGTGAAATCCATACTATGAGACTTTGCACCACTAAATCCATAGTATATCCATACGATTTCGATACTATATCCATTAGTATGGAAATATACAATTATTATGGATAATCAAAATCCATTCTATAAAGGTCCATACAATTTTCATTCTATGGATTTTCAAAATTTTTCCCAGTGCATACGTAGAAACATACATGCAGTACCTGGAACTTGGGTTGTTGTTGAGGTAACAGTCTCACAATGCAGATCACTGTCGATGCTTCCACCTGGACCATTGTAAGCTTGGGAACAATCTGGACATTTCCAACCTGATTTACAGTGACAATTGCCGTTCTCATTACAGACCTGTTGAAAGTGAACATGGGAGTCAAATTACCTATGTCCAACATCAAGGAAATGATGCACTAACACGCATATAGGAGCTATGATCATATTTAATTAAAATGCGAGTGCGCAGCACGAGTATTTTAGTATAGATAATAACATAGTTTCGACTACAATTTGGAAAAAAACATGCACGAGTGAGTTTTTTAAAGACTATCAAAATTGCACGAGTCCGAAGGACGAGTGCAATTTGATGGCTTCAAAAAACTGATGTGTGTATTATTTTCCAAATTGCACGAGAAACCATACTATTACTTATTAATAATATAGATGAAAACATTTCCCCTCGATGACTCCTGCATAGTTACCTTCGCTACTTAAGCATTGTCTTCGTCGCTTGTGAACAAACTTTTTCTGTCTATGTGCTCGTTGCATTTTTAATTTTAGATTTCCCAACAATTTTCAAAACAAAATGTGCAAAAGTCGATAAAAAATGAAAATTTAAAATATCTATATTTTCCCGCCACGGATGTTGATTTTTTCGACTCGTGTCCAGCCTCTGCTCCACTCCAGTGCAATTACAAATGCTGTAATTGAACTCCAGTCAGTCCAGTACGATTGCAAATGTACTTGCACCCCTCTTAGCCAATCATCATCAAGAAATTTTGTCATCTATCTTATCTTATTATAAGACATGATAAAACAGCACTAAAATTGTTTTGAATAGTTTCAAACACGACCACAATACAGGGTGTCTAAAAAACGCAATGGAAATTCAACAGGCTGTCGTGCCTCATAAACGTTGCTAAACAATTCAATTTTTACAGATAATAAACATAGGACGAAAGAACAGTTATTTAGCTTTTCAATGATACTCTTTTAATTTAAATCGTAGCGATGAGAAATGGCCGCATATTCGTCAAAAAAAATTGCCGATCGAAATCACATTCTTCCACCGTTGGGAATTGCATGGAAAACAAAACATAGTCATAGTTACTAGAAAATACATGCATGCAGAAACCCTCGCCTTGCTGACAAAACCATTGTATTTTCCGAACATGAAGTATCTAAAGTAGTTGCCATGGTAACACGATAATTTTTTAAGAATATTCTTACAAATGAAAAATCGCTTAAAAATATCGCTTTTAATTACAAAATTATCAATTTCCCAGCATAGGCTATAATTATATGTTAGGTATTATATTATACGTAATATAAGCTTCAATTTAAGGTAAAATTCAACCACAAACGCTTCGCGAAACGTTTTAAAATGTTCTTTATAAAACTAAACTGCCTTTATTCATTAATTAAATGGGTTTATCGACAAACTTTGAGTTTGCAATAAAATGATTTCAAATTTTAGGGAGGGAATCAATATTAAAGATACACTGAAATGGCGCCCGATATTCTGTCTTGTTTAGTTGTTTCATATACGCAAAGGCCGTCGGGTTTTAAAGCAATTATAAAATCAATATTTAAAGCAAACTTACCTTCGTTAACGTCGGCTCCCTTCTTTTAGCCGATTCTTTCGCCATTTTTTTCTTGAAATTTACAAAATCTTGCAAAAATGCGAGCAAAAATGAAACATATTTGCAAGAAATTTATCAATCATCAAATCAGGAAATGTTTGCTATTTCGCTGTCGTCATGCAGTCGTTATAATGCAAACTTTAAATTGGACCAATCACAGTGTTTGCTATTCATGACAGTCCGCCATATTTTTGAGATCAGTGAGGATAACCACCCACGGTTGGTGATCCACGCCCGCGATATTTGATGAACTTTAGACTTCGCTAACGCTTCGCGCCGTCGGCTCGGGGATAATAGTTTTGTTTGTGAAAACACCACATAAATTTATTACTGTCAGTGTTATTTTCAGGAACAGTCAGTGTTCCAAATTAATGTGCGTTGGTAGCAGTACAATAACACCAAATAATCTTGGCTATATTGTTGGAGCAGTAGTAATCTTAATTTAATTATAAAGAATGTATCAATTATTTGTCGGTAAGTTCAAAACATCGAGGCGGAGTCATGGTGAGTTATCGCCATGCGAACGTACAAAGAACTTAAAACATAGTTAATTGCCAAGAGGGAATTGAATGTTAATTAAATGATCGAAAATGATATCAACTCGTCAATCGTCGTCTTAGTGAGACAACACCTTAAAAATTAAATTAAAAATGGTTCAATGGATGATTCCAGCTACAGTCTAAATTTCAATCAAGGCAAGAAGAACAAAATCCATCACCACAGCTAGAAAAAGCATGTTAAAATTAGTACAATTGCAAAGCTTGGACGCAAAATGTTGTAAAATGCGATAAATATAGCACTAGTGCGAACAAAATTTTACTAATTTTTATTTTAACATGCTCGTTCTACTTGTGGTGATGGATTTTGTTGTTCTTGCCTAGATCAAAATTTAGTCTTTAGCTGGAATCATCTATTAACCACTGAACAGAGAACATTCGTGATCAAAATGTTTTACAAAACAAATATCTTGCAGCAGACTCGTTGCTTTGGGATTGATTAACTTTGCATAATTAATGTATTTTCAATTTCCAATGGTGGCAATCTAGCTCGTACGTACTCAGAGCCATCGTTGAGTGGCTCTGGGTACGAGATTGAAACGGTTAGCGTGCGTAGCAACGGTGGAAGAATGTGATATCGACCGGCAATTTTTATTTGACGAGTATCTAGCCATTTCTCATCGTTACGATTTAAAAAAGGTATCATAGAAAAGCTAAATAACAGCTCTTTCGTCCTATGTAAAATTTGAATTGTTTAGCCGCGTTTATGATGCACGACAGGCCGTTGAATTTTCATTGCGCTTTTTTAGAGATATCCAGTAGATGCAGTCTCTTTAGTAATCTTTATAAAGAATACTAATTAGGATAGATTTTTATATAAAGAATACTAATGAAGATGAGTTTTATCAGGTATAAGCCTCATCACGTGGCATAGTTGGTTGACATGATTTGCCAATAACTATATGAATTATTAATGAGTGGTTGAAGCAACGATTAAAAAACTTACCCCATTTCCGCTGCAGTTATTCGCACATGTTGGCTGTCCAGCATAAGCAACGGATAGTAACACACACTCATTGTTTTGACAAACCTACACAGAAAAGCCAACAAGTTATTGTAGAGCCAATGTTCTTTAAAATATATATTGCCCTAAGCACTATTGTGCAGCCGAACGTTGCCAAGTGACAGCTTGTGAAACGAGAAAATTATTTTCATCATTTTCATTATAGGCAGCAGGCAAATGGATAGCAATAAGAGATTTTAATTACACGGCTAAAAACGCACAGGTTGTTCCAAGTTGATATCGACAGGCGTGGACAATGTTGTGCGGCCAACTATGAACAAGTTGTCAACCATGTTGTTCCAAGTTGTTATTGTTGAACAATGCTGTAACAACATGTTGGCAATACTGTTCATAGTGGGTCGCCTTGTTCATGCCTGTTGATATCAACCTGAAACAAGTTGTTGATTTTCTCAATTTTTACGCGTGTAGTATAATTTGTTTGCTTTTATAAAGTGTCTACTTCCTGTTAATGTCTATTTAAACTCACCATTTTTTGTAAACCCATACTAACCATTTTCTCTCCACATTTTGTTCCATCTAAGACGGTACTCAATTCTGGTAAACCCTCTGCCTGAAAGATCCTTGCAGACCTTAATTAAACAATCAAAATAAACCGCACAATCAGGCATTTCCCAACCATAGTCGAAGCTTTCATTGCGGCCACCCCTTGTAAGAGAACTTCATTGTTGCGTCCCAGCTGAACCTCTATTATATTACTATATTTAAGACCTCCCTTAAGCGGAAACCTCTCATAAGTGAACAAAGACACCAAAACGAAAATCACAAGCACCATTTAATTTCTTGATAGTAGACAGTTAGTCAAATTCTGTGCTGAAATACTTTGGGAAGATTAAGGTTTAGAATATCTGTTTGGTGAACATTATAATGCTAACGTGATGAACGAAGGTAAATTGTATTATTAGTCGGTGTATGATAAAGGGTTTCCTATAATGGGTAAATATCGAGTTCGAAGCTGTTTCTAGTTAGATCTAATCAATGTATATAAATTTCTACTCGATAACTTCCATCTATAAGATTCTTCAACTTTTCCTATGATTGGCAACTGTAAATGAACTTTTCATACGTGTATACACCGTCCGTGAGAACTCACCATGACTCCGCCCCAATGTTTTGAACTTACCAACAAATAATTGATACATTCCTCATAATTAAACTAAGATTACTACTACTCCAACGATAGCCAAGATTCTTTGGTGTGATTGTGCTGTTACCAGCGCACATTAATTTGCCACACTGACTGTTCCTGAAAGTATTACAGTGTTTTCATCATGTCATGGGCGGTTGGACGAATAGCTCAGAGGTCATCAATTAATTACCAACATTTTCACAAACTTTCAAAGTTAGAGTATTTTTGTATGTGTATTCGTATTATGTACTCAGGTGAATATGATCTTTTTTATGTTACTCTGGGTGTGCATACACACCGGGCAAGCTGAAAAGTTTGCCTGACCACGGTAGGAATCAAACCCGCGACCTTTTGGTTTCTAGTCCAATGCCCTACCTAACTGATCTACGTGGTCAAGTCTGTTAGAGTTGGTGATATTTCTGAACTCAGTCTAGTTTCTAAGAATACATTGAAATTGAAGGAACTAAACTCAGTTCCGAAATATCACCAACTCGAAACAACTTGACCTCGTGGCTCAGTTGGTAGAGGATTGGACTGGTATCCCAAAGGTCCCGGGTTCGATTTCCACCGTTTCAGGGAAACGTTTCAGCTTGCCCGGTGCAAAGTAAAATCACAAATTTCAAAGAGCAGTATTTTCCCATTCAGCTCCCTTCTCTTAACCGTTGGACTGAACAGTATAACAACTTACATAGGTTCACAAGGCATATATGCAGTTTCATTAAGTTTTTTGCAGTAACCACGTTCATCTCCAAGTGTGTTTACAAAATCGTAACAAGAATCATCCGCTTTGAAAGCACCTAGATGCAAGTACACAACAGCATTTTAAGTTGATCCCTAAGGCAAACAGCAAGCGATCGTCAAAGATCATGGTATAACAATTGTGGCATCTATAGTCGCGACATGGGCGTGGGCGAGTGGGAAAATAGGCAAGAAGAAAGGATTTTTTCCGACTTTGTTGCGTTTTGCTCGAAAAATCAAAAACATTTTTCTCTACTAAACTTCCAAAAATTTTGGCGTTGGGGCCGTTATTTGCCTATAAAACCTCGTTTTCGTGCACGTAAAATTAATTTAATCGAAGCCTCTCAACTAAAAAAACGAGGCTCTATAACCAAAGTGAAATAGTTTCTGGAAGGGTTTCGAGTCACGATCCAGAGATCGGAATTATTCTTGCAATTTGATTGTTTTGAAAATCCTACGATCGTTCATGTCAACCACTCAGGATGGAATTATGGAGATGTCCCATTGCCCTTTTATTGTTTTGAAATCCCAATATTCTTCATGTCATCCAGTGTTTTGACTTATATTGGCATTTATGCAAAGGCTTTGTAGACTGAAAAGAAAATAGTTTTAGAAAATTAAACCAGATACATTCCACCAATCCATAATTCATCACATTGGTCATCATGCGTTCTACATTCTCCCATTTGACAATATCCCTAGAGAAGACAAAATGCCAAATTTATAGCAGCTAATTGAAAATAACGTTTCTGAAGTCACCTGTCACCTGGCTGCTGCTCCGTAACGCGTCAATATAATTCTGAAGGTCTAACTTAGGTAAGACAAAAGATATAAGCTGTGCCTCTGACCTGATTATTACCACAGGATATGCCATTCACCGTTACCAGATTAGCAGGACACTGAAATGTCACAAAGAGTTGAAATCTAGTGCAAGTACGTTAAACCAAACACCTTGGGTTTACGGTTGCGGTCGGTGATCGGGGCATTCAGATTTTAAATTAATTTTTCACCAAGTGATCGACTGGATACGATTGAAAACCACAAGTTACCATCCTTATATACTAAGTTACGAACTGCATAATGACAAACATTTAATGCGATTTTACGGTTGACAGCAACAATTTGCATTTCGAATTGCTGTTCAAAATTGTTCGATCCGTGTCACACTAGCCAAGTGTCTATCCGCTTTTGACGCCATTATGAAAAAGGTCTATTCCGGATAATTTTAAAATCAGGTTGTTAAACATTTCTTGAATACCCTGCATGCACATGCTATCAAAATACATAGAGGATATTTTTGTGCCAAGATATGAATTTTATCTTCGAGTGGTGAAAACAAGATTTTTATGAAGTTCTTTTTATTAGATAGTCGAAACAAAGACGAAAATTAAAGCAACTCAAGTTCAAAACGAAGTATGTTTACTTCATTTATTATAGCAAAACTTTAAAACGATTAGCTTGCTCAATTTTCCTACTCGCGCTCTCGGTGACGAAAAAATCAAGGAATCCTTCATATATCATAAAACATTAATAATTCATAAGCTTATTGGCAAATCATGTCAACCATAATATGTCACATGCAGTGGCTTTAAACCTGATAAAACACTCCTAATTAGTATTATTTATATAAAGAATACTAATAAGGCAGTATCTATTGTTGTCGTGTCCTCATTAGTATTTTATATATAAAGAATACTGATAAGGCGGTATATCTATTGAATTTGTATAGTCGTGTTTGAAGCCGTTTAATAAACTCGCAGGTCGTGTTTTATTAGGTCTAAAGCAACTCGCGGTGCGCGCTCGTATCTTTAAACCTAATAAAACACTCCTGCTCGTTTATTAAACAGTACTTAATGTCTTCGTTCGTCACTTTTACAAACCTTGAAATGACATCTTGTAAACATAGTGCAATTGGCGGGAAATTGGCGGGAAGTTATGAAGATAAGAAAAATATCTTACTCATGTGTAATTTCAGTATCTCACTATGTAGTATATAATAAATTATGAACTTATGACACTCACCACTTCACTTGTCCCATTACAATACTCCGGAACATCGCACGAGTTTACAGCTTCACGACAAACTGTACCTCCAGAGATAAACTGAAAAAAATCAATCAATTAACCAAATTTGAAGACGGTCACTTCGCAGTTAAGGCTAGAGTCAAGACCAAAATTTTTATGTCGCTTAATAAAGATAAGGATACAAATTAAGTTTTCACAGGTTTGATGCCATATTATTCCTTTTCTAATACAAGATCATTCATTTCAAGTTGCTGCATACAACAGTATATTCATTCCATACCTGGCAGTCACTACAGCAAACTCCGTCAGCACATTGGGCTTTTTCATACAGCGTACACGAAGTATAATTACAGCAAGTATTGTTAGCACGCACACAGTCCTGAAAAATTGAAAATATTGTACTGGAATTGTACTTTGGGTGAACATCCACTTCGAAAAAGACATTTTCCACTTCCAGAAAACGTTGATAGGAAGCCATATGTTTCTTGATTTCCATCACTGGGAAAATGTCTATGAAACAATGTTACCTGTTTTCTGCATCTATGGGAAACATGTCCATGAAACAATGTTTCCTGGTTCGAGTGGTTTCCCACCTTTGGAAAACATGACTAGCAAACGATGTTTTCTGGTTTGTCTATCTTTGGGAAACATGGCTAGGAAAAGTTAATTTTTTCAGTCACCTCTTGTGTACCACAGTCACATTCCTCTCCATCCTCCACAAAACCATTGCCACAGGCTGCGTCTGTTGCAAACTGGAATAAAGGAATATATAAAATTCGTAGGAATCTCGCAATTATCTGTAGATGTAGTTTACTTGTCATGTTCCTATGAGTGGAAACATTTTTGAACTTATAATTAATCACCATCGATATCTTCCGCTCTATAAGATGTTAATACCAAGACTATTAATTGCCTGTTACTGTTGCTTATCATGTAAATGCATACTGAAAAGTAAGAAGGAAACATTGAAGATAGCGGATATTTCACAATGTACCTTTGTTGGTTGGTTAAAGAGACAATGTCCAACATTACCCAAAAGTAAAGTCTCAAGATCATCTATGCTGCACTGGGAAAATAGCTCTGGTGGTGGTGAGCTAAACATATTTAAAAAATACTTTGTGAAACATATGACACTTGTTCGGTACACTTTAAAAATCTAATGGTAAAATTGGGGAAATCTTTGTGTCTGATTGTTTTCAGCACAAGAAGAGAATTCCAGCTTTTCGAGTGAAGGCGCTTTGCCTTCATCTTTATTTGTAAAAATATATGCAAAGCTGCATGTTTATCTGGAGGAAAACCTTCGGAATTCGTCGCTGAACGCCAGAATTTCTGAGTTTAAAGATCTTACTGGCCAAATAAGTCACCTTAGAACACCATTCATAACACACCCATCAGATGGACACGATGTGCAACCTTAACAAAAATAGTATATTTATCACGACAACTGTTGTTGAAGTACTATTTAGAAACGAGCAGGAGTGTTTTATTAGGTTTAAAGCCACGAGCGCGAAGCGCGAGTGGCTTTCGACCTAATAAAACACGACCTGCGAGCTTTTTAAATGACTTCAAAAACGTTTGCATAATAAGTCAAATCTTTATATAAAAATCTTTATATAAAAATCTTTATATAAAAATCTTTATATAGTTTGCATAACAATGGTCTTTTGTTAAAGTGTTCTTTAGCTGGTATATATAAAGACGTATGCACGTGACTAATTTCTTACTCAAGATTGGATAATTGCTTCATGAATTATTAATGAGTTTTTAAATATAATACAAACAATGAATGTTTATGAGTGCAATGGTAAAAATATTTTTATGTGGTGAAAGATGGAAAATTTCATCCAAATAGGATTTTGAATTATTAAATTTATTTAAACTTATTTAAATTTATTTAAATTTAAATTTATTTAAACAGCAAAATGGGAATTTTAATTCGATATCACGTGGTCATAGTCAGCCAATTAAATGACCAGAATTTAATGAGATGTTATATAATGATTAATAGTGAGGTGGGTGGTGGTTTAATAGCATGATGACGCCATTGTGATGATGGCAATAATATCGATCATTCAAAAAAAGTTGATGGAGATTGTGATAGTTGATGATAATATTAGTGATTAGTGACTAAAATTATCCATTTTGTAAGAATGGAAACAAATATTTTACCGAGAAACAAATATTTTACCATCATCGTGTAAGAGACCAAAGTTGTGTCCCATTTCATGCGCCATGACAGCACCCGTGAATGCTGCATTAGAATTCGTATCCTGTATGACACAAATAAAGAAAAGGTCATTGTTTCAAATCATATTTATATCATCGAACGAAGTTCAGAAAGTTTTAAATGTTATTGATGGCAATATCCTCATGTTTCTCCACTGATATAGGCGAACGCGGAAGGAAATAAAATTAGGGGGCCGGAAAAAGTTGCCCGATGTTAATGGAAATTGTCCTGTCGTTTGTGACATCGGTTAAAACATTTTGGTGATGTTACATATTTCTTCATTTTTTGACTATTTTAATACGCGGCGAGTTTCTCTTTGATCATTTGCCTCATTTTTAAGTCGAACTGCTTATTTTTAAGTAGATTCTGCCTGATTAAAAAGTGATTGGCGAAGTGAATTCCTCCCCCGCCCTTCTCACGTGCCTATGTAAATTTCTATTTGGCCACACGAAAACCCTAATATATCCCTATTGCTCTTTACATAACAATTGTATTAACAATTAAGGTATTCGCCACTCACCGATTCAATACCAACAGAGTAATTCGAGACACAGATTGTTCTTACATATGCCAAACCAGCAATGTTCCCGCCATAGTTCGTTTGGCTGTAATTATATTAATACGAACGATTTTTATGTAACACGTGGCGAAACAGTGTTGGTGACTCAGCGGTTAGTGCATATACCTTTCACCTTGTGATCGTGTTCCGGATCCCATAATACAGTATGTGCTAGTTGTCATAATACAGTATGTACTAGTTGTCATAATACAGTATGTACTACAGGGTGTCCCCCAAAAAAGTGACACTATAGAAATTATCCTATTGTTATAATTTGAATGCCCTAGCACTAAGTTGATCCCACAGGTGCATAAACCTCTGCTTCTGGAATTTAAAATAAAAAAGCAAACCGTTTATTAGTGTAATCGTTTTGCTTGACTCGGGCGTTAAAATATTTGGACAAAGCGAAAACGTTTTAAAATGCTTAAATGTAAATACAAGTTCATTAAATTCCCAGGCGTGTAATCGTTTAAGAGCGGCTTAAGAACAATGAGATAATTTCTATAGTGTCACTTTTTTTTGGGACACCCTGTAGTTGTCATAATACAGTATGTATTATAGTTGTCATAATACAGTATGTACTATATAGTTGTCATAATACAGTATGTACTATAGTTGTCATAATACAGTATGTACTATAGTTGTCATAATACAGATATGTACTAGTTGTCATAATACAGTATGTACTATAGTTGTCATAATACAGTATGTACTATAGTTGTCATAATACAGCATGTACTAGCTAGTTGTCATAGTACAATATGTACTAGTTGTCATAATACAGTATGTACTATAGTTGTCATAATACAGTATGTACTAGCTAGTTGTCATAATACAGTATGTACTAGTTGTCATAATACAGTATGTACTATAGTTGTCATAATACAGTATGTACTGGCTAGTTGTCACAATACAGTATGCACTAGTTGTCATAATACAGTATGTACTATAGTTGTCATAATACAGTATGTACTAGCTAGTTGTCATAATACAGTATGTACTAGTTGTCATAATACAGTATGTATTAGTTGTCATAATACAGTATGTATTAGTTGCCATAATACAGTATGCACTAGCTCTCTGATTACAATTTCACAAGAGCGGTTGTAATTCAATTCTACGAAACACCGCAGGTTTTCTCCTGGTGCTCAGATTTCCTCTTGCAATGGAAATTATAGACTAAATTTTGATCTAGACAAAAATTTCATCACAGCTTGAAAGAGCATCACAAAATTAGTAATATTCCAAAGTTTCGTTGCGAAATTTTGTAAAATTCGGATAATATAGCCATGCGAAGTTTGCCGTTTTTCAGTCATTTTGTATTACGCACGGGAAATTGACAGCCCAATTGGATGTTGCATGGGGCATCAATTTGCCGTTTGTACTACAAAATGACTGAAAATTGCAAATTTCGCAAGGCTATATTATCCGCATTTTACAACATTTCGCAACGAAACTTTGGAATATTACTAATTTTGTGATGCTCTTTCAAGCTGTGATGAAATTTTTGTCTCGATCAAAAATTAGTCTATAATGCAAATGGTCCATTACACTATAGCACTAAAATCCATATGGCCCTTACTGGAACACCTGTCTAAAGCTACAGCAAGCCCTGGCCTGTAACAATACACATATGAAATTATCAACTTCACAGCCTAAAATTACATACGAAAGTAATTGAGCATTATCGTGGTCTTTGGTCGTTTCATCAACATCCAAGACATCCCTTTTGTAATTTCTGAAATTTACCAATGTTGTACTGGAATCATTGACCACCGATATCGGATCACCATTTGTCCAGGTTTCAACCATTACCAAAGCAATACGGATATTATGCGCTTTGTAGATCTAAAATGTTTTTTTTGATGGGATTTTTAATGGGTACACATACAGGCATGATTAGCTAGAGTACCAGATGCCCAGGGCCGCCCAACTTGAGAGCGAGAGCCTAAAATTGAGTAGGTTCTTTAAATTGGTCAGAGCATTTTTGAAATCGACGGCCCCTTACAGTAGCTCCACATGTAGTCTAGCTAAGGTCTAGTTGGGTGACTGACTTGGCTCCAGCTTAAAAATAATGTCATAGGGCCCCCAGAGATGGTTTACCCAGGGGCCCCCCGAATTCTCTCGGCTGCTCTGCAGTTGTTATGAATGAGCAAGAAATGAAGCATTCCTAAGACTACGACATTTTAATGAAACATTACTGTCGCTAATTAATTCATTGCAGGATTATTGACCACCCTCTCGGCTACACAATGTCACGATACTTCTAAGTGCTTAATTAGTCATTCTACCTCAATGCAGCTTTAAAGACAGAGTCAAACTTACCGAGTCCACAACATTAGCTATACTGATAGCTCTGAGTTTAGTTTGGGGAATATCACCTCCGTAAATTTGAAGCTGTGAAAAAGATTAAAACACATCTTTATTGCGCCCCCTTTTCCTTTAAGAGATAACGGGCAGAGAGTTAAAATATTAACTATTAAGGATTTTTTTAATGTCTCTTGTAGGCATTGCCATTGATAACTTCCAATTTATTTGCAAAGGCAAAATACTTACCTGACTATCATCATTCACTAAGATCAGTTCGACATATTTTTTTTCTGTCAAGATATCACGACGAGACTGGAAAACATGTGAAAATTTTTATCATGATGTGTTTTCCAAAATTGCTTCTAGTGGATATCTCTATCAGTTCTATACTGTTCTTTTTTAGAGGGTAATGGCATTCCTTATTGATTACTATATAAGAGGAAACCTGGATAGCTCTGCCAGTTCTACCAGTTTAAACTGGTTTTACTAAAAGTCATATAAAGATAATCACTTAATGTTCCAGTGTTACAACGGGACAAAAACGGACTTTTTTTGCCTGATGCGAAATTATTCCAATTGTAATGGCTTATACTTGGGTTATGTGGTATAACACTTCTTGAGAAATCTTGGCTGCTTCAGTAGAAAGTGTCGCTCGAGTTGATTGAAAGATCTACCGAGAAGACTTGGGGAGGTGCATCGAGAATAACGCATACAGCTCAGAGTCGGCTTCGCCGTATCGTCCGACGGTATAATCGAGTTGACGGTTTGGAGATAACATACAAAGAAAGACACTATCGCCCGTATTCTAAAAGCTCACTCACACTCAATGGGTGGAAGTTCAATCTGAGCTTCTCTCGAGTGTCATTGCCGTTTTTGAATAGCTGGAGGGCTAGTGTCATACCATACTATGTGATTACTCACCCTCCAGCTATTTAAAAACACTCAATAGAAGCTCAGATTGAACCGCCACTCATTGAGTGTGAATGTGAGTAAGCTTTTAGAATATAGGCGTATCTCTTCGTATTCTACCAGTCTGTTATTGGTTAGAACTGAAAACCAGGTAATGTCAAACTGGAGACACTCGTCGCATAAGCGGCTGAGATAAAATTATAACGACAATAAACTGGAATTCAGATTATCTTACTCTATGATGTTCATGTAGAGGAAATGGATTCAGAAAATCGTAGTCACTTTCGTGCGTTTGGACGCCATCATGAGCTGAAAATAAATTTATTATATAAACATAAGTGTTATATAGAGTTTTGGCCACTGAGAAAAATCGTATTTAAACACACGTAAAAAATACGATATTTTTACGTGTGAAAATATCATTTGTTGTCAAACGCATTGCCACGGACGTTTTATTGTTTTTCACTGAATTTTGTTTATATAATAAACAGAAAAATACATGGGTGCTTGGAAATACCAAATTTATTTCTCGTGTTGAACAAGATATCTCACTCGTTCGCTGCGCTCACTCGTGAGATATCATGTTCAACACTCGAAATAAATCTGGTATTCCCGCGCACCCATGTATTATTCTCTATATAATCAAGTTGTTTTCAGCAAAGATATCGTATTATTATCATACGCTATAGTTAGCGCGCTGCACTTTACGTTTGAGTTAAACCTGCATGCGGAAGATGGAGGGCGGGCATTTACTTAGATTGAGTAACTTCTCTGAGCTCGAAAATCTCGTATCAGTAGAATTTGGTTTGTTTTTTACAATTAGCATTACGATTAGCATTTCTATAGCGCAAATTTATACATGTGGATATGATTAAATGCGCTTTACATCAAGTATTATACGCTTACCTTATTACATACTTAGCCTAGATTATTTTTTATCTTTAAAACAATTGTGATGTTTCTTTCTTAACTGTGCTTATCCTGACCTATCCTGTCAACTTTCCCTGCGGGAGCAAACCGGAGCATCCGGAGAAAACCCACGACTTTCAGCAAAGCGTTGACTGACTCTTTTCACATGAGTCCGCAGCGAGAATCGAACCCATGCACGAACTCGTGCACGAACTCAGAGGTGAAAGCCCCTTGCTCTGACAACTGCTCTGACCAGGGCCGTAGCTAGCATGTATAGTTGGGGGGTAGACCAAAAATTTCCGAATGACGAAAAAAATTTCCGAATATTTCATGGCATACGAAGCCACGAAGGCGTTTGCTATCCGGAAAATGAAGATGCAATTTACAACCAAAAATACACATAGTTTACGCAAAGACATATTACAGAAGCATGCAGTGCTGTAGGAAGCTCTTTTTTATTGGGGGTGGGAACGAGGGCCGAAGGCCCGAGGAAATTTTAAAATTTAAATTCTCTGAAATGCCATTTCCTGGACTTTGGGGGAAGTTTTGAGAGAATTCTGACGGTCAGAAAACAGAGTTTTAGTATGATATTTGTGATGTTACTCTGAGTATGCATCCACAGCGGGCAAGCTGAAAAGTAATAAACCGAAAAACATTTACTGATTTAAGATTTGTTTTACGTTATCCATGTAAATGCCGTAATTTCGTAAATCAGTTTATACCAATGGTTTATACTAACAATACCATTTTATAACATTTTCTCTGTTTAAACAACTACAATTTTGTTATACTATTCATGCCGTAATTTTCCGAATGGCCAACTCGATTTTCCGAATATGTTAATTCTACAAAAGTTGGGGGATTAACCAACCCCCCCCCCCCAATACCACCCTTGCTACGGCCCTGGCTCTGACAGGCTTTTCTCCAGGTTCTCCGGTTTTCCTCTATCACTAAAAACTAACCCTTGAACATCGTAAAAGAACTAACTCACCCTCGGCGACCATTATCAATTGGGTTGTATGTAAAACCTGCTTCGAATTAAAATTAAAATTAAATTAATGGAATCAATATATCCTTTAACTTACGACATTGAAATTTCTCTCCTGTAATATCATTCGGACTATAGACGACGTGAGCGACCCTCTGAAAAATTACAAATGAAAAATTATTTCCACATTAACATAACTACAGTAAAAATATAATTAGTACATGTCATTAAACATTTGGCATCTTGTATTATTAACTAACTTATACCTTTTGACTCTGGTCAAATAATGGTTGAATAAAGAAAGTCTCGTCATTTCTTCTGAAGTACCCACTACAAAAACAAACCACGAATAAGGTGTGGCCTAGGGAGAAGTGATATAGCTAAAGCCAGTATAATAAATAAATAAATAAATAAATCAGTTTGGAAACGGAAGAAATATCTAGTTTAATTATAATAAAAGTAGAAAAAATTAACTTACTGAAAGCCTTCACATGTGGTCAAAGCAAGATTTGAATTCTCTTCATTCCTTACATGACCGTGGAAAAAACAGTCATGTGTTCGCTACAGGAAGAATAATACACCCCAAGAGCATTAAAGATCTACCTAATTCACTCAGGTGAAGAATTTACAGTTTTTAGCAAACCTTTCTCAAAACAGTGACTCCATCAGAAAGGTAATGCCTCTCCTTGTATCGAGGTGAAACCAAGTTTCTGTCAATAGTAATAAATATATTCAGTTCAGTACAAACGGGATCTATTATGGCGAGCTACTGGCTAATATATAAAAGATGAAAAGTCTTAGAGTTTATTAATTTAGCACTGTAGATACAAAAGAAATAAAATGTCGTACCTGTTTGGAACAAGGTCAAGGACTACCCCATTTCCATTAAGCAGGAAAGATATACTTCTCTCAACTGTCTCATCCTGTATCATCAAAAACATAATTCTTTTATTATTTCTAAATCCTTTTTTACGAACAAAGCCGAAATATTTTATAACAAAGACCAAATTTAATTATAAAATAACATGTATATAACGTGTGCTCTGTTTGGATGGCCTGATCCAAACACTTGGAAATGTTGCTCGAGTTAAGAAAAGCGCGCAAATTCACTCGCCTTCGACTCATGTTTCGCGTGCTTTTCTTAACTCTCGCAACATTCCCGCGTGTTTGGATCAGGTCATCCAAACGCGGAAAGCATAAAGTAATTGTATATGAACTATCACATGCATGAAAAAGAAAATAATAGCCACAGCAAAATTATTTACCTGGCGATAAAAATCTGGGAATTCATTGGCAATAGGTGTTATATCTTCAGGATGGACAATTTCATATTTCTTTAATTTGTTCAGGAGTTCCTTGTCTTTGATATTTAGTTCATTGTATGGGATATCAGGCACTTGTTTGGTTTGCACATCATCTGTGAAAATGAAGGAACAGAGATTCTTCACTATACAAAAGGCGCGTTGTTGTCAAGGTGTATGTTGGTAGCCCAGTCTTTATGGCATGTGTCCTGTGACTGAGGTTTGATTCCAGAAAAATTCAATACTCTGATTCTGCAGCTGATTCAGTGACTTGCGAGATAAAAAAAAATGCAGTTGAATTTCAACACGTAGCTGAGACAGGAAGAATATGCATATCAAGTATTGAACAGTTGAATCACCATTTGAATATGCACAAAATTGCTTAAAGAACAATTAGTATAGAGAGTTTAGGTAATCACACGGGAAGGAGTACAATTAATGATTAACACCACCCAGAGGAGGAATGAGGGTCTTCCCGAAAAGCAACGCGCGAATCAGTGCGGCTCATTATTATTCAAGCTATTTATTCTCAACGCGCCGTTCGATTAAAAACTGTTGAAATATATTGCGATTTTTGCCGTGAAGATCTCGTTTTCTCAAAGGTATGTTTCGATAACCTTTTTGTTTAGTTATTTAATAAAAGAAGTTTTGAATAATTTTGTATATATATCGCATTTTACTTATATTAAATTCCGATTGTATTTATGCATGTTTTGGGTGTTGGAAAAGTGGCATTGAAATATTCTGGAGTAAATTGTACTTTTTTACAAGGAAACTAAAATAAAATTACATCAGTGAATTCAGGAATGTTTACTCTTTATATTGATACTTTAAAACATGAATTTACTCCATAAAACCGAAGAGTTATCGCGGTTTGAAAATGAGCTATTTTTGCTATATTCGATAATTAGCAAGAATAGCTCATTTTCAAACCGCGATAACTCTTCGGTTTTATGGAGTAAATTAATGTTTTAAAGTATCAATATAAAGGGTAAACATTCCTGAATTCACTGATGTAATTTTATTTTAGTTTCCTTGTAAAAAAGTACAATTTACTCCAGAATATTTCAATGCCACTTTTCCAACACTCAAAACATACATAAATACAATCGGAATTTAACATAAGTAAAATGCGATATTCATACAAAATTATTCAAACCTTCTTTTGTTAAATAACTAAACAAAAAGGTTATCGAAACATACCTTTGAGAAAACGAGATCTTCACGGCAAAAATCGCAATATATTTCAACAGTTTTTAATCGAACGGCGCGTTGAGAATAAATAGCTTGAATAATAATGAGCCGCACTGATTCGCGCGTTGCATTTTGGGAAGACCCTCATTCCTCCTCTGCTGATGCCCGATATGACCTAATTTTGTTGCCCTATCTTGTAATGTTGTTGGAATGACTAGCCGTGTGTTCTTCAACAGTATACCTGCTGATGCATTGTACGTAAGTTCGTCGGCGCAAAGTCTAAACGGTTTAAGATCAGGATCGTTCTCATCCCA